TTCCTGAAATGGAACAAATAACAGAGGAACGAGAAACAGATAATGAAGAATTCAATAAGATATGTCAATAAATATGCGACAATATGGACGATAAAACAAAAAGAAATTGTTGATCTATCTTAATAGCAGCAGTAACTAACAATGATAACAGTACTTGTTCTTATATTGATGGTCCAGGTGGTTTTGATAAAATTTTTACTTATACAACTCTATATTATTTATTTAAAAGTAGAGGAAAAGTAATAAATACTGGTATTGCTGCGACATTACTTCCAAATGGGAGAACTGTACATAAAGTTTTTGGATTACCTGTGCCTCTTTTCAACGATTCTACATCAAGCAGTAAAGTTCAATCTAAAGAACCTAATAAATTAAAATTCGTAGATATTTTCATTATGGATGAAGCTCCTATAGCACTACGTTATGTATCAGAAATAATGGATAGAACATTATGCGATATAATGCAAAATGATTTATATTTTGGTAGAAAAATCATGCTCTTTGGTAAAGATTTTAGACAATTATTACTTATTAAAGAGAAAGCTATGCGTTGTGAAATATTATAAATTTATCTATAAAATTTAATACTTTATGCAAACAATTTAAAATATTATTTTATTAATGGAAAATATAACAGCTTTACCAGAAGAAAGAGAATTTGCATTTTTACCAAATTTAGGTAACGGTACTTTAAATGACTAATTAAATAATGTTCAAATTCCAAAAAGATGTATTGCAAGTATTAATTCAGATATGATAAAGGAAATATATGGGAATATTATAACACATAAAAGATATAAAGTTATTACTAATTACATTATATTATTTGCAAGAAATATCAATATTGACGAAATAAACAAAAAAGTAGTAAATTTGTTGAATGAAACAACAAAGATAATTTATTTTAATTTATATAAGTGTAGATATTCTTGAAAAGACTAAGATGAGGAATACATGAAATAATTATGACATAATATCTCAACTCTTTAAACCAACATGTCTTCGACCACATGACCACATTTTTTACATTTGCGAAGATATACTGTTGTGTAACTTATTAGAAATCTTAATATCAGTGAAGGTTTGTGTATTGGTACTAGATTGTTAATTTTAGATTTGAATAATAATTTATTACGATGTGAAATTTTGACAGGTAATAAAATTAGAAAAATTTTGTTTTTCTTAATTGTATCACTTTGTATTATGAAAATATACCCATTATTTTCAAAAGAAGTTTCCAATAAAATTAGCATTTGCTATTAGCACAAAAACAAACTTTCGAAAAAATTGCAATGGATCTTCGTAAAGATATTTTCATGGATAATTGTATATTGCATTATCACGAGTACGTTCTTGGGATTCGTTAAAAATTTATTTAAGAAATGATAATCTTCTTAATTTTCTTAATCAAGTAAAAAAATTATGTTTATAAAAAGGTACTTGAATGATGTACTTGAGGAAACAGGGAGTTTGTACTTAAAAAAAATTAATTGAGATGCATTATAAAGACTATATGATATTTTTGTTTAGTTTTATTATATGTAATAAAATAGAACGTAACAAAACACAAATTAAATAGTACATGTATATATGTATATATGACTTAAAGTCAATAAAATAAAAATGAAACAATTCGAAATAAACATTAGCAAATAAAATATTTAAAATATTCATGGATGAAGCGCAAATAATATATTTTATAATAAGATTGAAGTATATGGTAACAAAATTCGAAATGTTGTAATTATGTGTATACACATACGCGTTTATTTTGTTCTTGGACATGGATATTGAAAATACTATAAATATTCAAATTATAACTATTTATATAGTTTCTTATTATTAGTTTCAAGAAAGTTTTGTGTGTGTGTGT